TCTTTAAAATCAGATGAGCAAGAAGAATCGGGGCTGAGGATCTGGGGAGGCTGTACCTCCCCCAGCCCGCGGTGTAATGAAGTGCTCCTTTACGATTCAGCTGTGCATCTCTGGTCATCTTGCTGACACGTTACAACAGTTTGACTGACACTTTGGTTCTATCTGTCCTCGTAAGTGTGAAGTTGTACCTCACTGTGGTTTTAATTTGCATTTCTCTGATGACTAATGATGCTGAGCATCATGTGTTACTGACCAATTATGTATCTTCCCTGGAGACATGTCTATTCAGAGCCTTTGTCCATATTTTTTTATTGAATTATATTTTAATACAAGGCCCTCATCAGATATAAGATTTCCAAATATTTTCTCCCATTCTATGGATTGTCTGTTCACTTTCTTGATGGACAGCATCTTTTGAAGCACAAAATTACTTTTGATAAAGAAGAATTTACCAAATTTTGTTGTTGTTGCTTGTGTTTTTGGGGATACATCCAATAAGTGTTGACGGCACCTAAAAGGAACTGGCTTCAGATCTTATTCATTCCCACTAATACCATCTGGAAAGTCATAAGGGGCTTTCACTCTTTCTACTTGAGACAGAGGAAAAAATAATTTTATTATGAAATGTCTAAGATATCCATAAAGGTACAAAGAATAACATACATCTGCGTCCCCACTACTCAACTTAAGAAAGTTTACCAATAAAGTCTGTGACCTCATCCAACCTCAACTCTGGAGGTAACCATTACCCTAAGTTTGGTGTTTATTATTCTCATGTATTCCTTTATACTCCTACATGTGTACACGTGCTTTATCAATTAGTAGTACTGGTTTGTCTTTTTAAACTTCGTATAAAAAGCATCATGTAGTTAATATTCTGCCACTTGCTTTCCTCCACATTGTTGAGATTTATCTATGTTGATATAACTGGTATAAGTATATAAATATAACTCTAGTTCATTAACTTCTGCAGTGGCTGAACATCGTATAAATACATTATTTATCTGTCCTATAGTTGTATATTCATGTTGAAATGGCCAAAAACTGGGGAAAGTGACACTAAGCAATTTTGAGCACATAAACTAGTTTCCCTAGAACCATGACTTTTCATTATCTTTTTGACTGAAGCCCATAGTAAAAAAATACATTTTATAGCTCAACCCTATGCACATATACATTTATTTGTGTGTAGATGTACATCAGTATGTATCAAAATGTTCACAAAGTACTATCTCCTACTATTCTTTATGTTGCTATAGCTCCTTAAATATATAAACAAAAGATTTACAGACATTGAATTGATTTTATGACTTCTCTATTTGGATACCATCACTATTTAAAAGCTGCTCATGACTATCATGCCAAGGAGCGGAACTGCTGGGTCATAGGGTGTCTTGGCTCGGGCTGCCATAACAAAGTACGATAGAGTGGGTGGCTTAAACAACAGACATTTTTTTCCCCTCAGTTCTGGAGGCTGAAAATCTGAGACCAGGGTGCCAAGTATGGTTGGGTTCAGATGAAAGCCCTCTTCCTGTCCTACAGGCCTTCTAACTTTGTCCTACCACATAAGACTCTCCTCTTCTTAGAAGAGCACTAATCCCATCATGGAGGCTCCACCCTTTTGCTTGCCCTAAACGTAATTGCCTCCAAGGGCCCTACCTCCAAATAACATCCCATTGGGGAGTAAGGCTTTTTAACATATAAATTTAGGGGGGACAAAAACATTCAGTCTATAGCTTGAGGTAGACACATATTCAGCTTTACTAGACAATTGCACTCTTTTCCAAAATAGTTGTAGCAAATTATGCTCACACAAGAAGACAAGCAAGTTGGTGGATTTCAACCTACTCCCAGCTGATCTGCCTATGTGAAATGGCATCCTGTAATGTAAGTATGCTTTTCCATGATCAGTAGGGAGCCCGAGCATCATTCCTATGTTTACTGGCCATCTACATTTTCTTATTCCATAAACGATGAGACAGGGAACCTACCCACAGAAAATGTTTCCATGGCTATTTCAGAGCCTGAGCTGGAATGCATACTCAAATGTGTGGTTCTGGTGTTTAAATCTGCCACTGGCGAAGAGAAAAGGGAACCAATCAAACATTACCTTCTCAGGAAGACTTTCTTTTCAGGGCAAAGCAAGTAGAATCAGCAGGGGTAAAAAAAAAGAAGAAAAGCCAGGTAAAGAGGTTTTGTTTTTCTTAAAGCTAAAAAGCCCTTATTTGAACCACAGGAAAAAAATCTTCTCTTGCAAAGTCTAGCTATATAAATCTGGATACGCTGTTCTTATTCTGTTTTCAGCCTTCCAATCTGCACAATTAGGCTAACAATCTGTACTACTTCTTACCCTATGTGGAAATTTTGAAATAAACATTCTTTTAAAACTTTGAAAATAAAGAGTTTATAGAAATTCAAGGTTCTGTGAGCATTACTCATCCAATGCCTTCCAAAAGCTTGTGAGATGACAGAACTGTGGGCCTCTGAACAGCTTTTTGGAATAAGCAATTCTCCTGAATTCCTGCCTTAAAAGCCCAACGGCTCTGAAAAACAATAAATTTTCTCCTGGGCAATTATATCCCATCCACAGCCCTACCTTTCAGTCTCCAAAAAACAAACAAACAAAAAACCCTAAGTAATTCTTCATTTTACAGGTACAGAAATGAAATCCCTCAGTGGTCAGATGCCTTTCTGGAGTCTCCTGTTCTCTGGTTCAGGCATTTTATACACTAGCAACCCCACCCTCTGGGTCTGATCCCCCTCCGGCTGCAGGTGCCTAGATCCACCCTAACGTCAGACTTGCTTGCTTAGACGCGGTCACTACACTCCACCTTCCCACTCTTGAGATGAAGCAATCCTGGAAAGGAAACAAGTGACTGCTCTGAGATGTCAATTACCAAATCACACAGGGAAGTTAGTACCAAATAGCCTTTTACCAAAGAATAATTAGCTAGGTCAGTGTAATTTACAATGAAGGGGTATTCCCAACAAGCAGGCCACCAGCTGCCGCCGCCACATCTTCTTTCTGAGGTCTGACTTCTCTGGCAGCAGGCACTCATCCTTTACTTACATCCACCCCACCAAATGGGATCTCGAGGCTTGGCAGAAAGAGATCCCTGCTGCCTGATGCCATCTCCAGCTGGAAGGCATGCCACCTGCAGAGTGGCAGCTGAACTGAGCCAACAGTGTCACAACCTAACCTCCGCTGAGTCAATGGGGTGCTCGGTTTGCATCACTTGTATTTTTTTATTGAGCTACTACTGCCTTCTTTCCCTCAGGCAGATCCTCCCAGCCAAAGCTCCACTGTAGCCCAGAACCTTCTCTCATTCTGTGAATCAATGCTCCCAAACATGGAGTCAAGCAAGTGAAGAAAATTATACCTGCCAATGACCTAAGAGGATTGCTCCTTCATAGATTAGTAACATGGTTAAAACAAAACCTAAAAGAAATTCACCTTGGTTGCAAAATTGGAACTGAATAGATATTTATATACATTTGGTAAAGATTTATAATTTTTCTGTTTGGACTAAAGTTATAAATAGCTGTTATCTACTGTGAAAAACATGCAAATAAGGGAAGGGAAGACCAAAGCCAGCAAAGATAGAAGGACCAGAATGAGATTAAGTACCACCCATGGATTATTTTACTTACTTATTATGTCTTGTCTAATTTTCAAAAGGACAGCATCCAAGGAAAAAAGGGTTAAAAAGCAAGGCTACAGGTAAACAGTTTTCTTCTCAAATCCACGAAAGAAGTGTCCCATAGCAAGCAATAATATGTTTAGATCTCAGATACAAGATGGTATAGAAGAAACATTTCAAAAAACTGAAAACATTTTCTAATTGTTAACAGATCTCTTTCTAGTGTAAGAAGCACTAAAAAATTCTTAGGAACATTAAGAGATCCAGGAGTGTATGGTTCCTCATTCTCCTTTATGTGAAGTTACAAAAGTCATGAGATGTTAATATGGTAGTTTCTATAATTTTGACAACCAAATAAAAAAAATTGAAAATAGAACCAAATTAGTACAGAAGAGTTATTTTGGCTATTTTGAAACACCCTGTATTTGCTTCATTGTTCAACCACGTGCAAAGTGCATGCAGATTGTGTTTTACCCTGGTGCTCTGGTCTCTGGGAAGTAACTGTCAACTGAGTTTTACTCCCAGGAACAAAGGTGCTTGGCACTGAGAGCCATCAGCCCTTTTGAAATCTCATGGTCCTAGCTGGAAGGGGTGGGGGGCTGCATTACAGGAAAGCTAATGCAAAGTTATTTTTTATCTAGATCTAACACATCAGAGGACACTTGCAAAACATTTTGGAAGTAGGATACAGCCACTGCTTGGAAAAATCAGGTATCTTATAACAGTAAGATCTGTTACCAAAATATAATCCACCTCACATCCAAAAACTAACTTAGGAGCTGCTCCAGGCACCATCTAATTAACTGAAGCAGATAGAGAAAAAAATCCTCAGAAATTATTATTGTTTAAATACACTCTATTTTATTTTTGTCTTAAAATAGTTTAACCTTTATGCTACAGACTTATTTCAAAAAACAGAAAATCTTATCTTGCACCAAAAAATATATATATAACACTCTGTTTTATTATTTTTTTCTCCAAAGACCATTAAATACTAAATGGAAACAAAAACTAAATAATGAATGTAAAGAAGAACCAAATTTTGTTTTAAAAACTAGAGTTGCACATTTTAAAACATAAATCTAAGCAATGATTTGTCGTCACTGCATCAAGTCCACACTCACACTCCAGCAACAGCAGATCTGTTCACCACCAAGTGCATGATTCCTAGCCATACAATGGCTAACATTTCATTTTCACGGTAAGAGGAGCAAAAGGCTTCAATGACCTTTGTACTCTTTGAAAAAAAAAAAACAAGAACAAAACAACAACAAAAATATTTCCTAGTTATCCAGTGATTTTTTTTTTTTTTAGATCACTACCCTTTAAAGTTTGTTAAAAGAATAGGTACATAGTGTTTTAAATAAAATGAAAAAAAAATACAACAGCATTGGACTAAAATACGTGATTATTTTAAACAAACAGTGCACAATCTGAGGAAGTTTGGTTAGGGTGCAATCATTTTTATATATACATGGAAGTCACATCATACACATACTAGAAAACAGGGATATGGGGCTCTCTGCCTTAAAAAAAAAGTTAAACCAGAAGACAAAATTGTCTCCCCAGCTTTTTCAAAAACTGTGACACAGTACAAAAAAGCAGGCAACAAATTCATTTTTAAGTTACCTATGGTGCTAACCTGCTCAAAGTAACAATGAACAATTGATTCAATTAGTAAATCAGATAGTTCATATTCACAATTGATAATAAAACAGTTTAAGGGATGCTCAATTATAAAGAATAATGGAGTCCATTCAGTCTGGCCCCTTCCAACAAAATGAAAAGACAAGTACTGGTGAGCAGCAATTCCACATTACAGGGCAGTCATGATGATGTAATAAATAGCTGGTTAGTGCTCTGTGGTTTCAAACTGGGTGGAGGGGAGACTTAACCAAATTAGTGCCATAAACCAATCTGTGACCTAAGTGCACCATTTAGAAGAAATACTACTTTGAATGGACAATGTTCTATGAAGAATAAAGAAGTATTTATGCTACCAAATGCAAACTTTGGTTAAAAAAGATCCCCTTACAAGAAATTTCAAATGTCACAGGAGTTGTTTACCACAGAATTTTGTCATTAATACCTTGCCAGAAACCACATTCCTACTCTACTGGATCTGGCAATGAAAAAAGAGCTGGAACAGAGTCTCTCTATAGTTAGTATGTGGAAAAGTTCCCATCTAGTAGGGAAAAAAGCTGACTGTCTCTACTGTCCCTTCCCCACCCTTTTTGCATCTTAATTTCTAATGATCTGTTCTGGTACATCAACTCAAGTAGGCAGGGTGCTGGGAGAGGCACAGGTGAGGACAAAGTGCAACCTGTTGTAAAAGCAAAAGGCCAGGAAAGAGCTGGGTTACAGCTTCACTCTGTCCCCAATCCACAGTGCACACAGCACACCAAAAGAATCCTCTTTAGGAGGATGACTACTAGGGGCTAAAGAAAATATGTCATGGGAAATCACCAGCTCTATGAAACTGGACGAACATATCATTAACATTAAGAGTACATAACGCAAAACATTCTATGGGGCTCTACCCTGATACTGGGGACAAAATAAGCTGCAATAACTTCAAGTCAAATAATCCATTCTATTCTTTCCCAATGATTTTCCTGAAACACACAGACCAGAAATTGTACATTTCTGCTTTGTCTAGCATTTTAATTCAAGTCAAAACTAACATGTAACAGTAAAATTTAATAAATTAATCCTAAAGTAAAATGTAAAGGTCCAATGATACACCAGTAGTGAATCTGCAGAAGGTCCTATTTTGCTCTGGCCTCTGGGTCTTTGGTTTTTGTCTAGAACTGTGGTCATGTGAGAGACTTGAGATATGAGGTGCTAAAACTGGAGATCAGTTATCTTTTAAAGGCCTGATCTATTAAAAGTAGATTGACAGAAAAATAAAAAGATGAAGAACAGAGGCCACATCAATATTATCAGAGAAGCTCCAAGAACACATGCTGAAATACACTCCCAGGGAAGAGGTGTATGGAAGTAAAGCAGCAGGAAGAAGAGTAAAGGAACGACTGGTCTTTCCGAAACATAAACAAAGGCCAGGCAGGTGGAGTCTTGTGGTGCATGCGCACGCAGGGGTTGTCTCATTCATCTCAGCGGCCCCACAGCACGCAACCCGCAAGTGCCTTATGCGGAACAGGCACTTAGTAAATGAGTGTCTACTGAATGAAACTAAGAAACGGTAGTTCTCATGCTCTTATGATAAGGAAGAGCCAGCAAGGTGTTGGGAGGGAGGCAAAGGGCTTTAGCAACATTATGTGGTAAAAATGGAACCAAAAACTCAAAAAAGGCCAAGAAAAAGTGTAGTAAAACAAAAGGTAGGGTCTTCTAAGCCAATATTACTTCATTCCTCCTTGTGCACAGTACATAGTGTTTTAACTCTAGGTATTGCTTGTAAAATAATTCACTAGTAACTATAACATGTCATAGGAAAAAAGGTAGTAACTAATGCCACAAACTCTAACACTGGTATTTCCTGAATTCCCTGAAGCTCCTACTACCCTTTGCTATACCTTTTAGATACTGTAAAACCTACAGTGCCATTAATGTGCTTTGCATCTGGTTTCTTATGGTGTATTTTGGTTTTTCTAATTTTAGATGGTAGAGGAGAAAAATACCCAATTATAGAATCAGGTAAATTTCAGCTCAAGTTTGAACAGTTGTCGAATATCTTTTATGGAGAGACCAGCCATGAAAAAAGGCACTTTCCTCTCAGATTTACAAGTGCCCAAAGCCTTAGAAGCCACACAACTCTGTATATTCTAGCTAAGTAACAGGTTTCTATGTTCTTCCGTTATTTGAATAAATCAGGAAAAAAAAGGTGAGGAAGAGACATTTTCCTACTGATCTCTCAGTACTCTGTTCATATGCCCAGAAAAGCTCGTGGTGGCTATCTATCCAAAATGCCTCGGCCACAAAAGAAGACATTTTCCAAAGAGTTATGAATTATTGCAACAAAGAGACCAATTAAGTCATCGTAGCAGTACTTATAAATACAAAGGGGCATGTCAATTATCCGTGATGTGGAAAGTCAGCCAGGAACAAAGTCAGGAAAGAAGTTAGAAGACTTAAGCTAAAAGAAAAGTAATACTTTTGTCTTCTATTTCTAAGGACAGGTTTCCAAATGCACATGCCCTACTAGGTGCCAATAAGGACCTGACTAATATGTGTGCAAATGCCCTAAGGTGGGAGTGCCAATGGGTGGGCTGACAGTGGTCAAGTCTAGATATTAATTTTATTACACAGAAAAATAAATACAAGATTCAAACACTAAAATTCATTTTACCTGGTAATTAAAATATTATTCTAAAAGGAAGGCAGAGCTTCCTAAGAAAAAAGTCACTAAGTAAAATGAAGTTGTCTAATAAATTCATCATTCTCATATTCCTACTGAGGGAAAGAAATTCTTTTCTCTGTAATTAAGTTATTTTCCTAAGTGACTTCTTTAATTTACATAAAAGAAAGAAAAAAAGGAGGGGGGCAATTTTCCATGATTTTTGATTATACAAATGCCACAAACAGCTTCTGAGGCTGAAGCTATGACAATGAACTTCCATGTCATAAAGAGGAGGAGGAAGTGGAAGGGAACAGTGCAGAGGAAACACAGTGACATTGTATTACAGTAGGTATTTACGTCTGCTATCCTCATCCAAGGTAAGGTCAACAACTTCTGCAGGCGAAGCCCAAGTCTGCTGGGGAGTCACAGCAGTCCATGACTGTGTTTGCCGGTTGCTAACATACGGCGTGCTCGAGCCATGCTTCCATGAAGAGACACTCTGAATCACACCTCCTCGAGGATGGACACACCTGCAATTAAGATAAAGAGCAAAAGCATGGCTAACCATAAGAAAGAGAAAAGGCAATATAGCTTCACTAGTACTGATCAATACTTTTACTGAGATCAATCTACTATGCAAGTTCATGTAATCCACAACCAATATTCTTCCTTTTTTTCCTCCCTCCCTCCATGTCTGTCTGTCTGTCTCCCCTCCTCTCTCCCCCGTCTCTCAGTTTAGCCTAAAAAAGGTCAAGAGTTCTGTCCCAGTCAGAAACTCCTGAGTTATGTCTAGGTCTGTTATTGATAATGGATAAGATGATGTTTCTCTGAACTCACTAAAAACCTCTGAATCTTCAGGACTGGACACCATATAAATCCAGAACATAATGAACATGCCCAAACAATCTTAGTCTGAACAAACGAAACAGTAAGAAATATAAGTGAAACTTGTTCTGAAAATAAGTCCTGTGCCATATTTGGTAATAACACCTTCAAAGACAGTAATAGTAATATCCCTTTACAGATTAAATTTCTAAAAATCCATAAGTACTAGGTCATGCATAAAGGATCAATCTCCCTCATTCTGAAGGTCACAACACAAACACCTGGCTCCTTCATCAAACCTTCTTGTGCTTTAGTTCAGCGTAAGTAACAAGTACAGTTTAGGTTCTCTAAAGGTTAACAAGTAGTCGCTCAGTTTCGATTCTCTACAAGTACTCTATTAAAGGAACAGAACTGACTTGCTGATGAACCTCACCAGGAGTTCATTGGAAGAAAATTATTTCAGAAGTTCTAACACTGAATTTCACATTCCAGTCAAATGATAAGACTGTGAGCCTCCAGTTTGAACAACTAAGTTTTGATTCAAGTGAGAGGAAGGCAGGAAACTTCAAGTTATCATTGCTACTTATGTTCTCACATCTAAATTACTAACAAGTCCCTATGTAGCATGTGAGAGGTGACAAGTGGCATGATTCTAGTCACATAATCAACCACAGTGGAGCCTGAGCAGCTACTTTCACAACCAGTATACATTGAGTGATGCAGGATCACATGAGAATTCCAGCATTGATTCAATGCTACCTGCACCACCAAGTTCAAAGAACATTAGGGTAACAATGAATATGATTTAGTTGCAGAACCATCCCCAAGAACCTTAAGCTCCTGGAAAGAGTTCCTGCTCCTACAAAGGCTAACCTAAAAAACAACCTCCTTACCAAGAGAGGTGCTGAAAAACAGATTCGCAGGGGCCAGAGCAGGGGGCAGAATGTAGATTTGTTACAATACCAGAGACCTGACACCTCATAAGAAATTAGCTACGTAGGTACTAACCCAGGACTACTCGCTACATTTCAGAGATTTGCTAATGAAAAGCTTTAAATTAAGAGACATAAAGTCTAAAATCTAATCCAAATTTGTGCAACCCATTAAGTACACTCAGATTAAGTGATCATGTAGTCACATAAGACTGTCAGCCAAAGGAGTCCATTCAACATTCACAGAAATTGTTTTTGTTATTTTTTAAACCCTCACCTGAGAATATTTTTCCACTAATCTTTTTTGGGGGGTTGGGGGTGAGAAAAAGAGAAACATCAAAGAGAGAGAGAAAAACATCAATGTGAGAGAGACACATCAAATGGTTGCCTCTCGCATGACCCTGATAGAGGCCAGGGATCAAACCTGCAACTCAGATCCATGCCCCTGACTGGGAATCAAACTTAAGATTCTTCAGTCGTCAGGCCAACACTCTAACCGCTAAACCAAACAGGCCAGGGCTATAGAAATGGTTTTAATGACTGACTGCAACAGAATACTAAGTTTATTAAGCAGTTTTACCTCATTTGATACTCTCAATAGACTTACAGGTAGACGTGGAAGTTACATCAATACTTTACAAACAGGGAACTGAGGACTAAAGAGGTTATATGATTTGTCCAGGGTCACATTGCTTGAAAGTGGAAGTTCAAAGAACTTCAAGTCAGGTCTGATTTTGGATCCTATGCTTTCCACGACATCATGCTGTCGCTTTACAAATGTGTATATTAAATTACGTAAGGCAAATAGTGACAATCAGCAGAGTGCAAAAATAGGCCCAGACTAACAATTTAAAAATGTAAAGTTCTTCAACAATTCAAAAGGTCATCTGTACAAGTACTAATTGAAGTAAAGCTGATACAAACTTAGAAGGAATTCAGAGAATGAATGGCTACAAAGAAAGTCCATGTAATCTTTGGCAGAATTCCTAGAAATACCTCTGCAGTAAGAGAAGTATTTATTCCCAAAAAAGTAGTAATAGAGTGTAACATCAGGTAGTTACTTTAAAGGAGATCTGATCCAATCTGCTTGTTTTATAGAAGAGAAAAGACAACTGCCCAGGGTCTTAAGCAAGTTAAGCATAAAACCAGAATAAAATCAGGTCTCCACTGGGGAGTTTATCTTCCACTAAGTAACTATGCCTTCCTCAGACTACACCTAAAGTACTATATTTGATTTTAAGGAACACTACCTCCTCCCTGGGGGGTCATTCAATAAATAGCAACGCAGATTCTAGAAAGTGTCCAGAATAGGAGAGTGAGAGGTTTAGAGACAGTATTTACTACTGAGGAATGGCTAAAGGAGAGAGAAGAATAAGGAAATGAGGCACTTCTTCAACTATCTAAGTTAGATCACTTCTGTGGTTATGTTACAAATGGTTCCAGTTATCGGAAACCAACTTGGGCTACTTTAAGCAAAAAGGAGAATTAGTTGGAAAGACACTGGCATGTCTCAAAAACATGAGGATGATGGAACAATTAGACACCACTCATCTGACTCAAGCCCCAACTTTCTCAGTCTGTTTCTCTTAGTTCAAATTTTTCAGTTCTCTAGAGATGTGATAATTCCATCTTTAGTCAAAAGCTTTCCAGGACCCTTATTAACTGCAGCTGGAAGGGCACTGTCCACAGAAGGGAGAATCATCACAGAAGGTGGCTACTCCACCTTGTACAGAGATCTAGAAAGCATAATAAGAACCATGAATCAGTTTCTGGAAGGCAAGTTTTCAATGATCATTACTATACAACAATTATAGTCACTATACAATGGAGTAAACTGCCTTTAAACATTTAAACAGGTGCTGGGCTACCTATTAGGATAGTTAAAGAGGATTCTAGGATGACTTCTAAGGTCATCAGTAACTTTATGATTTTGAACAATACAGACAAGACTTCCCCATTAAAAGTCAGAATAGTGCTTACAGGGAAAGAGGTGGGGAAAGGTCATGATAGAAAGGTGGTTCTATTTCTTCATCTGAGTGCTGGTTACTTAGGTATGAGCAGTTTGCAAAAATTAAAATGTACATCTGTAACCTCTGTGTGTATGTGTAAGCCAATAAAACAGTAGTTCTCAACCTGTGGGTTGTTACTCCTTTCAGGGTCGAACTACCCTTTCACAGGGGTCACCTAAGACCATCGGAAAACACATATTTCCGATGGTCTTATGAACTGAGACACCGCTGCTCTATCTGTCTCCAGGCGGGTCCGCCCACATGCAGATACACCACATACAACACGAGGAACTGTATTAAAGGGTTGTGGCATTACAAAGGTTGAGAACCACTGCAATAAAACATTCAAAATTTTTTTATGATTTAATTAAGTCAACCATCTTGAATAAATGGTAGCTAGGAGCTGGATGATGCATCTAACACTTTTTTTTTTTCAAGTTCAAGGAAAAAAGGTCAGGCTAGTAAACAAAAGGGTGCTGGAATAACATTTCAATTATTTTATAAGATGTTATACATTACAGACTAACTTCTAATAGATAAAGAAGAAAGAAATTTCAGGAGGAAATAGGACAATTGTGATGAGCCCTACAGAGATGTCCTATTAAAAAAAAATGTGAGTCTCAAAATTTTGTAAGGAAACTAACACAAAGCACAGATTTTCATGTATTATCACGTTCTTTTTCTTTTCCTACATTATGAAAGGCATGGGGTAGAAGCATACTCAGGTATTTTTTAATTGGTCCAATGCCAATTCTAGTGCAGATATAGGCTTTGTTCTCACGTCTGCATATGATTGGCAATGGATATAAAGCACTATCTCATCATATTTTGAGTCTTATAACTAAGAAAATGCTTAGACCTTATTTAAAAAAAAATACTTTATAAACAATAACTTTTGATAGAATAATTTCCTGCTCTTCATGCACTGAAACCAATTAATAAGAGATTTCACAATAGAAAAGAAGAAAAAAACAAAGAAGAGGGAAGGCTCTGATGGTCAGCTTCTGATACAGTTAACTTACTATTCCAGAAAAACACCATTAAAAATTAATCATTTTTGCTCTCATTTAGAGAGGCTGAAGGTGACCTCTTCGATAACACTCCTATTACTTTTCCTAACTGAGAATGAAATGAATCCTTGTGGCTTTAGAAAAATACTCATCTGTCTCCCTTGCCTTTTTAGGACTAATGTTAGCAATTGGTTCTAGGAAGCAACCAGACTCAAATGCAAAACCCTTCCCATAGCAATTCTTTTGCTAAGAGATGAACCAACATTTACACCAAAGACTACAGTGCAATGAGGTAGGGGTTTGATTATCACAAAAGCTTCAAAGAACAAGTAATGAAGGAACTGTTCCAACATAGTTTCATGACAGAAAGATCTGCACTATATGGATTCAATTTCCTAGGGCAATTACCATGGAGGCTGGTAGAAGAAGAGAAGGAGAAAGGACCAAAAACCAAGAAAAATATTGGCATAGGAATCATAAATTAAAACTGTTGGCAAAATGAAGTGGCACAGGACTAGAGAAGTTGGAAGTCTCTCATTGGCAAAGAACATCTCATGCAATGACAACATTTAATTCAGGAGTTCATCACAGCAATAACAAAGCAGCCATAAATGATGCATTCACTCACTAGTTGAAAAAGCATGCTTTCTAGTCTATGACTAGAACCACAGAAGTGAACACGTCAAAATCTAAAGTAAAGGAGCAGGAAAGATATTAACATGCAGAAAAACAAAAGCAATTGTTTATCAAATAATAATAATAATAATAATAATAATAATTGCATCACAACTAGAATTGCTAAGTACAAAGGTCAAACAAAATACTTCCGAATATGAAAAAAATGGTACCCAAAGCAAGCCAGAGCAACCACAATCCCAAAGAGAACTCAAAGACCAAGTCTGAGTTTTTAAAAAACTTTCAGAAAGCCCACAACAAGGTAGAATATCATAAGAAAAAAATAACAGGGTGACTAAATCCAAACAAAACATCTGTGCATGCAAATCAAACTAGAACAAAAAGATGTCGATCAAAACCTAAAACCTTTTTCCAAGTGATAACCCTGCCAGAAGCCCATCAATACTTCATAACTGCAACCCTAGACCTGTAAAAGAAATAAATTTCAGATGAGATACAGGCAGCCAAAGGGGCAATTCTAAAGCAACCAAGAAAACTCTCCCCCACCTGCTTCTCAGCTATTAAATCTCAATATTTGAAAGCCTATCGGGCTTCTCTTCTAAAGAAATAGAGAAAAAATTTCCAGAATAATAGAGTCAATGAGACTCTACTCAGTCTGCACCCAAAGACCAAAATAAAAGATAGTCCCAAAATGATACAAGAGTCAATTCAAAGTACTCTGATAAGATCTGTTAACTCCACATGCCATTGTACGAACAAGAACCACTGAGATTTCAGAATGGACTTGTTACCTCCAAGATATGACTTATCCAGGATTCAAACTAAAGAATCAGAATAAAACACATCTTTATACTTCAGATCATGTAAGAAAAACTCCTTAACAGTAATGTTATAGCATGCCATTTAAAATGTAGCTAAAGTCACTTGACTCAGTACAAGAGTGAAACAAACATGTCTATAGAAGAAAATGACAATCTGGATAAAAGGCCTGACAAGTTCAGAGAAGGGTGTACTAGAAATCATTTGTGTGTGTTGGAGGTGAGGAGGGACTTAGAATTTACATTTCCAAGTTTAATAGAAATATAATAATTTTAACTCCAGATACCAATAGTATTGGTAGAAAAAGAAGCAAAAGGTTCCATGATGAAAGAAAAGTTGAACAGAGAAACTGAAAATAAAGATGTCTGGCTCATTCTGCAACACTTAGGCATAATAAGATAGTCAAGAAGGGAGACTTGAGAGGAGTTACTAGAGAACTGGACCACGTAATATGTCTCACCAGAATAAGAGATTAGATAAACGACACAGGTTACTATCTACTCTTTCCTACTTAAGTAGGAACACATGAGTTAACAGTGAATTAAAATTTGAAATGTAACTCAAGAGGCAGTTGGTGAATGGATAATGTGTTCCTGGCACAACTGAAGATAATTTACCTACATCAGTCATCAGGCAGGGTAATCTATATAGAATGGAGTCTGCAATAAAAAATACTGTAATATTCTAGAAAGATCCTGACATGGGGCCTATAAGGAACAATGGTGAAATGAACTAAATAGACATATGCTGAAGGACTAAATCATAAGTTCTACTTCCTCATCAAATAGATAAGTCAGCTTGGAGGGAATAAACAGAAAAATAGAAGAGAACTTAATAGGTAAAAGTTTTTGAATAGGCAGAAAAAAGAGGAAAATATGAGATAAAGATTAAAGAATGAAAATTCTGTCCCACCAGAATAGGGAATATAACCATTAAAAAAAGAAAAAGGAAACAGCCATAGAGGAATATTTATGGCATAATAAAGGACAGAGAATGAAGTGGTAAGATAATACTAGTTCTAGTAAAAAGAACTGTCCCTCTTTTGAGGAGATGGCATGTTAAACTATGACCTAACTCTGTTTTCTTTTCTTTCTTTTTTTAAGCACATTTTCTCTCAATTTTTTTTCTTTATTGATTTTAGAGAGACAGGAAGAAAAAGGGAGAAATAGAAACATCTATGAGAGAACTGGCCACCTCCTGCACGGCCCCCACTGGGGATTGGGCCCACAACTTGGGCATGTGTCCTAACTGGGAACTGAGCTGGCAACCACTTGGTGCATGGGTCGATGCTCAGCCACTAAGCCACACTGGCCAAGGTTTAACTCTGTATTCTTAAATTTCCAATTGTTTAACTGAAAAATGCTCTCGGAGTATAACCAGTTTTCATTAGAAAAAGGCACCCTCAATTTCTGTGTATGTGTATTTCACCCCACTGTCCAATTCTAAATTCACCTTTTACAACAATAGAAGAAACACTGGTGTATGTTTTATTGCTAACCAAAGAGTAAAATCAGATCTAAGGGCAAGGTAATACAGCTATTGGAGAAATCAGGAAATCACAACTTAACTCTTGTGGCACAGGAGAAAAGTTGTTTGCTACACAGAATACAGATTTTCCAAAGTCTAACTTTTTGCCTTGTCTCTCTCTCTCTCTCTCTCTCTCTCTCTCTCTCTCTCTCTGTGTGTGTGTGTGTGTGTGTGTGTGTGTGTATTTAATCCTCACCCAAGGACATTTTTCCATTTTTTGTTCAGGTAGAGTGGGAGGGAGAGAGAGGGAGAGAGAGAGAGAGAGAGAAACGCTGACGTGAAAGGGACACATCAAGTGGCTGCCACCCGCACAACCAACCAGGACCAGGAACAAACTGCAATCAAGGTACACACCCTTAGCGAGAACCAAACCCAGGTCTCTCTGGATCACAGGCCGACGCTCTAACCACTGAACCAAACCGGCCAGGACTCTCTATGTATATTAAATGTTCCCCAGGAATACCTCTGAGGGCTGTAATTAATCCTTATCTTAAAGCAAAAGTCAGTAATTTCTTTTTCTACAAAGGGATACATAGTATCTTATGCTTTTGAGGGCTATAAGGTTATCTGTTGAAACTTCTCCACTCTGCCACTGTGGTATAAAAACACCCATAAACAATATGTAAATGAACAAGTGTGGCTCTGTCCCAAAAAAACTTAATTCATGAATAAATTTTATTTGGACTTCATATAGTTTTCACATCACAAAATATTCTTCTTTTGATTCCCTCCCTAACCATTTAAAAACGTAAAAACCGGGGCGGGGGGGCATATGGGGACAGGAGGAGGATGTCAATAGGGAGAAAAGTAGAAATATCTGTAACAAAAATTAATTAAGTAAATAAAATATAAATTTTTAAAAATGTAAAAATCATTCTTATTCTTAGCTCAAGGTCCATACAAAAACAGAAAGCAGGCCAGATTTGGCCAGTAGGCTAATTTGTTGACCTCTACCTTAAAAATGCCAAACTTCATAAATTATTTTCATAACTGGCTGTCTTGTAGCCTTTATTTTTATCCTGAGAAACAGGACTCCCTGAGTCACATAAACATCACTAGAAATACACTCTGTTAGCTATAGACCAAAGTAATTTGCAATTTTTAATGAAAGACCAGCAGAGGTGCTCTAAGAAACAAGCAAGAGAGGTATGATGTCAGATGCATATTTCCCAACTGTTTGCTCCTGATATATTTCAAGATAAAGTAAAAGGCAAGAAAATATGCATAAGAGGGGGGAAGTACAGTAATACTTATACCCTAAGAACAAAATCTGTCAAGCACTCTAAGCAAGAAAAACATCAGTTCTATGGCATACATATATGATCATGATGTTCTTGATATGAAACAATATGCAACACGTTCTGAAGCTCGTATCATGTCTAATCAAAAAGTGTTTAAGCCAAAGGAAGCTGAAAGAGAGTACCAGAATTCTCAAAAAAAAAATCCTACCTTGCATGTTCCTGAACTCCCACAATCTCCACTTCACTATCTGAAGAAGCAATATTAATTTCTTCATTGAGTGGTGCACTGCCAGCAGATGTCTTGTCACTTGCTAGGAATCCTGGATCTAAATGACCTGAGAGAGAAGAGGGGAGAAAATAAGCACTACATTTTGATTTCTTACAATAGCATAAACAACTCATTGAAAGACTTCTCATCCAGGTTCAATCACAGAAACAGAATGGTCTTATGAGATCTTGCCACAGCAAAACTGTTACCCATGTCAAATAAACCAGGTAGGGCACTGTTCTATTTGGAAAAAAAAATTTTTTTTTAATTGAAAATAATTCAACAGACCACATGCTCACAGCTAAAAGAATGTTCAAACAACATGGACGTACATGAAAGTAAGAACTCACTCTCTACTCATATTCCTTAGGAGAAAAACCTTGGAGTACTTTGATAAGTATGCATATCTAAATGTAGGTAAACATAAATAGTAATAATACTCTATATTTTGTTCCATAATGCTTTTTGCATCCAACTACAGTCTGTCTTTAAATGACCCACATAACAATTCTGTCATCACCTAGAGGGCAATGGAGTTCTCTACTGCTTTCCATTTCAATAGAACAAAATTCTACCAGAAAAGCTCAAAGGCATAAAACAAGAAAAGTAATAATTAATATCATGTTTATACTGAGATGCTTTATGAAAGACTTAATACTTTTCTCTAAATTTTAAACAAATTTAACAATTTTCTCTAAAGGAATGCAGATTTGACAAAATCTGACCCAAAACCACATATAAAAGGGAAGATCACAATTTTTGCTCTGAGCAACTAAAACATAACCTGTATGTTGTTGACAGTTCTCATTAGACGGACACAAATGACATCTATTACATAGTACAATAAAACACATTCTCTAACATCACAGGAAGCATGAGCTTCCACAGAATTCTCTCTCAAGAAAAGCTAATGACATACACAGCATCAAAGTACACAACTCTATAAACAATTCTAGCAAGAGTGAAAATTCAGCCTATGTTCCCAGTTCTGGAATGTTCTGACTTAAAAGGATGAATTTTAGAATATTTAGAAGTTAGCATGAATAAACAGTTACAACGGGTACAAATTTGCATTTACTCTTTAAATGGTATTTTTATTTAAATATATTGTCATCTGATACCAAGTTATTTCTCCGTATTAAAAAAAGTCCTTTGTGATACCTTACATAAACTAAACCAATGCCAGTAAGATTTATACACATACAACTCTCCCTTCCCCTCATCTCACTCTTTCAAATGCTTTAAGGTCATTGAGAAATCTTGTACTTTCAAACTCCTGCCAACTTTTAGTGTAACATTTCTGAAAGTTATAGGTAGTCCCAAAGCAAAAGCCTTACAATTTTTATATCCTTTGACCCTGTAATCCCACCCATGACAATTCAGCCTAACCAAAAAAACTAACTAAATAAAATGTTATGATGTCCAAAGGCAGACACTACAGTGCTATGTAAAAACCTGGGGAAATATATGAACATTGTTAAGTGTCACACATAACACTATAAAAATATGTAGGTGCTGGGTAAAAGCTGTTGAAAGTAATCAAGTGTGAATACAATTGTAGGTCTTTTTTACAATTCTTTAGTATTATTTTTACTTTTTCCGATTGAAAATGATGCATATGTAAGAAAACAGAAGATTAAAAAGCTTAAAATGGCTTCTAGATACAACTGGTGATTAAGATATTACAATCTAGATACAATGGTTCTATGACTGGCAGTGAGCACTCATCTTTGAACCCTACACACAAAACATGGCATTCGCCACACAAAATCCAGTCCTGTTAAAGCTTGTGGCTGCCTAAATGGAATTTGGTTAAGTTTAGATCTGATAATTGCTCTGACAAAACAACCTGTTAATTTAATTATAAACCTAGATTCTTGCTCTAACTCTAATACATTGCTTGTGGCCACGTCTTTTATCCAATTTCTACTTTAATGTGGTCATCACTATTGTCATGCACACTATTCCTCACTGCAGCTCTAGATAAGTCTCTCTTTTTTTCAATTATTTTGTCTTGCTTTGTGCAGCTATAACAGTTTACTTCATTTGTTTGTTCTTACAATAAATACTTGTTTATAACATGCTATGCACTGTGCTAATAGGTAGGACTACTACGAAACAAGACAGGTGTGCTCTCTACCCTCAACAAGCTTATAATATAGTAAAACCTCAATATAACAGACTAATTTGGGCAAGGGGGTGTCTGTCAAAGCCAAAAGTCTGTTACATAATAATGTAGGTTTTCCGAAGGCATATGTTAAAAAATTGACAAATTAGTTAGTTTACCTGTTTTTACTTATGTAGACACATTTGTGTAAATAAAATCACGTATGTATGAAGTTTAATTTCACAGAAAAGTTTTCTATATGTATTACAGTAATTTTAAATTTATACTGGATAGGTCTAATAAATGCCTGCATTCACCAGTCCCTGAGAGTAAACAAATGCACACGGCTGCTGCTGGAAGTCACGACACTCAAAAATAGAGCCAACTACCCCAGCTCGATGTGGTGTGATCAAGTCCTAATCATTCACTGGACACTGCTTACAAGTGGTGACTCTTGGATTTAAATATGTAGACCATAGTTGTAGACATATAATATTTATTTGTCTGCAAAATTACTACCATGTTTTTCCTAACATATGGCCTATTCACTAAAATTTGTTAAAAATAAATTGAATTAACAACAACAAAAAAACAACCTATTAATTTAATTATAAGCAAATCTTGGTTAAAAGCATTTTTAAATTAACAGTGTGTTAATTTTCACATATGACATGTGGACTGCAAATTTGTCTGTTTAATTCAAAGTCCATTAAATTGAGATCCACAAAATCAAAGGTTTACTGTATATTCAGGAATAATAAAAAGCAGTCCACTGCACAATGGCTTGAAATCTGCTCTGACAGGGAGTTAAAGTGCTCCAGAAACACACAGAAAAGGGACATTTCCCAGACTTGAGGATAATCAAGGAAGCTGAGCTCTCAGGGCTAAGAAAGCACAGGTGAAGAGAAGTAGCATAAGAGATACTGTATTGCCCTTTAGGGTATAAAAGTTTGTGAGATTTGGAGAAATGGTAGTAAAATGAGAAATGAGGCTAGCCAAGTCAGCAGAAGTCAGATCACTGTAAGGAGTCTGAACATGACCTTGAGAAGTAGAAAGCCAAGGAGGGATTTAAGGAGAGAAGTGACATGATCTGATTTTCCACTTCTCAAAGTATAAAAATGGAACTCATTTACGGTAGTTTCCTGGGTGAAAAATGGTAACTGAACTAGAGAAGAAACAAAATGGGGAATACGTTATGTGTATGTGTGTACAGGTTATGTAATGGGAAACCAGACAAAGGAAAGAACACAAGCAATAAAAAATGATGTCTAGGCTTCTAATGTAGGTAACTGGATAGTTCCAATGCCATTCAGTGCACCAATGAATAGCCTGGAACATGATGATGTTCCTCTAAGGTGTTCAACAGGCAGTTGGAGGTACTATTCTGGATCTCAGGTCAAAGGTCTAGAGAGGAAATACAGATTTGGCAAGTCCTCAGCAATAGGTGAGAAGATAAAGGTCATCTAGAGGAGGTGAAGAGGGGCTTAGAACAGAACCATGTCAAACACCAATAATTAAGGGATGGACAGAGGAAGGGGAATTCACGAAGGTACACAAGGTAAAAAAAAAAAAAAAAAATCCCAAAGATATGACGCCAGAATACCAAAGAAAGCATTTCTAGGAAGACATACTTACCAGTGCCCAAAAGAGCAGGCTGGAAAGAGAAGGAACTAAATAGAGCCTACTAGAATCAGCAGAATCAGCAATAAGTTGACCATAAATGACCTTGGCAAGAAAAGCCTCAGAGGGACTAATGGGGCTGAAGCCATTGCAAATCTATAGCAAGAAAGTGAAGAGCAGACACATTTTTAAAGTTTGGCTATGAAGGAAAAGCTGTTAGGAGGGGGCTGAAAGAGGAAGATGGGTTTGAGGAAGGGAATGTGTATGTATGTCATTTTTTTTTTTTTTTTATCCTCACCCGAGGAAATTTTTCCATTTTTTGTTCAGATAGAGCGGGAGGGAGAGAGAGAGAGAGAAACATCGATGTGAAAGGGATACATCGAGTGGCTGCCACCCACACGACCAACCAGGGCCGGGGACAAACTGCAACCGAGGTACGTGCCCTTAGCAGGAACCAAACCCGGGTCTCTCTGTACCGCAGGCCGACGCTCCAACCGCCGAGCCAAACTGGCCAGGGCTATGTATGTCATTTTTAAAGATGGGAGAGACCTGGCCATATTTAGAAAAAAAAGGAAGAGAATAAACAGGGTTCTCAGAAAGTTGAGGTCATTTTGACCTGAGAAGAACGTGGCAAGGCCATCTGCAGAGCACAGGTGTGGTAGGGTAGTAGCTATGAAGAAAGAATGATGCCTTCAGAAAAGAGCTAGGATGAGGTTGCCAATTTGGAAATTAACGCAACCCTTAACTCTGCAACAATGTGATTTTCTCCAGTTATACTTAGTGGGGATACAGACTCCTGTGTGAGTCCAGGGATCAGACTTTGCCAGCTGGGTATAACAGAAAAGCTAGCAATACAAGGAGCTGAGGATAGTGTGAAACTAGGAGGAGTCTGATAAAGAACTGGATGATGGGTTTTATGAGATAGAAGAATAGTGTAGTGCAGATAACAGTATGAGAGTATAGAAAAGTCCCCAGTGGAAAAGGAGAACGCATTAGGAAGAGGAAGGAGGTAAACCAATGGTTATGAGAAGTAAAACACTGTATTTCCACCCTCTTGGTCACCCACAAAACATAAGCCTAGAACTATCTGTTTTCCTCCCTTCTTATCCTCCACTCTAGTGTCCTTCTCCTTTACCCGTTACCCACTACTCACCTTCCTTCAACTTTTCCACTGCCCTCTGGAATGCCAGCTCCATTGAAAACAGCCCTGAACTTGCTTTCGTCTCGTCTCCTTGTGGAAACCTGATTCTCCTGAAAATGCTACCTCCCCTGAAGTTGTTCCTACACTTAAGCTTTGGGATCAGGATCACTTACAAATTACTCTCCCCCATCCTCATGCA